GTTTGGGGTTTTGGAGTTTGGGGTTTTGGGTCAGTTTTGGTTTTGGAAGTTTTGTGTTTTGGGTGGTTTTGGGGGTAAAACCACATAAAACCCAAAACTTTCGCCCCCCCCCCCCCAAACTACCCAAAACACAAAACTCCCAAAACCAAAACTGACCCAAAACCCAAAACTCCAAAACCCAAAACTGATCCAAGATCCAAATCTACAAAACCCAAAACTGACCCAAAACCCAAAACTGACCCAAGATCCAAATCTACAAAACCCAAAACTGACCCAAATCCCGAGAGGTTTGGTATCGTAACATGCCTATCCTATGCTAGAGCAATGATAATAATGAAGGACGTGTCACGTATAATAAAACCTATCTTGTCTTTTAAAAAATTTCATGTGAAGTATTAGAATGAGTTTAAATGATATGTTGTGTTTGGCTTCTCAATCATCTTTACACGAATAAATGATCAAACCTGTCTAATGATTCCTTTTGTCAGAATCGAATCATTATGATGGTTGCTGGATACATCTATTATATGTATTTCTATCCTTTCAAAAAATTACATTTGAATTTCTTCGAGTGAAAATACATAGTATGCATCAAATGTCTAATCTTAATTCAAATGTATATAAACAGTCAGTTAATTGGTTTCATTTCGAAAATAAACGTGAAAATGTCAACGAAAGATACTAAAGTTGTCTGATAAGTTCTTTTCAAGAGGAAATAAACTGATTTTATGATTTCCTGATATTAGGTTGATTCCAGTCATTGAAATCAATTTATCCCCTTCATTCTTTAGCAAAGATAAAACATGTTAATGACTGCTTGACTAAAAGCGCCCCGCACTTATACTACTTACTATTAATGTATGAATAAAACATATGAATATCAATTTATTCACATGTATACTTTTCACTAATGTGTAAAGCAAAAAGAGAGGCAACTGTTTCTGCGTTCAATGAAAGAAATACAAACCTTTTATGAGACGTTTGTTTTAAATTTCAACAGCATGCATAAATAACAAGTGCAATTGAAGAAAACATTAACGTTACTAGAGAAAAAAAATCATGATTTGCTATTTATTCATCATCATCAATTCACATTCGCCGAAATCATCAGTTGCTGTTCGCTGAAAGAATGGCAAAATAGTTGTGCAACAACAATGGTGCATCAAGTTCTGATGCTGCACGCAAAGAAATGCCACAAAACACAACATTTTCTCTCTACTACACTGAAAAAATTTTCGGCGAATAATAAACCCTGAAAAAGGGTTTATGACTGCTAAATCAGTTTATCAACATGTTCTACCCTTTGACAAACTCTTTTTTCATAGATCAACAGAATCAACCCTTAAACACAGAATTTATCATCACCTATAAGAAATGCATCATTTGGGGGTTGATTCTGTTGATCTATGAAAAAAAGAGTTTATCAAGAGAGAAACCAGTACAAGGGTATATTAGTTTGCAATGGTTGACAAACCCTTGGCCACTTTTTTGAGGAAAAAGAGTTTATCAAAGGGTAGAACGTGTTGATAAACTGATTTAGCAGTCATAAATCCTTTTTCAGGGTTTATTATTCGCCGAAAACTTTGTGAAACACGATCTGAAAGGAGTGTTGAAGTGTTTAGGGGTAGAAATGTGGACCCACTCCCCCCCCCCCCCCCCCCCCCCCCCCCCCACAGACCGTGACAGACAGGCGTTGGACCCATCACAGACTGTGACAGATGGGACTTTGGGAGCATCACAGACCGTAACAGACGGGGTTTTGTACCCATCACAGACCGTGACAGACGGGCTTTGGACCCATCACAGGCCGTGACAGACGAGCTTTAGACCCATCATAGACCGTGACAGATGGGGCTTTGTACCAATCACAGACCATGACAGATATGTTTTGGATTCGTCACAGAATGTGAGAGACAAGACTCAGGGGTCATCATAAACTGTAATAGAGGACTTCAAGGAAATGTCAGATGTGATGTATAGCTAACATATCATTGAGGCATATATGGAGTATCATTCTGTTGAAAATATATAATGTAAGGTAAGCCATTATGAAGAAATGTACATCAGTATGCATAAGAAAACAACAGCTTTTAGAACGTCGGGTATATCAGCTATATCGTGTTTCACATTTTTAATCCCGCAAGGGATTGTGCTAACAGCTTTTTTTCAGTGTATGTAGAAATGACATAAAAGTGAATTTCGAGCTTCTTTATTTTTTGTTTGAGTACGTTTTTGCATAAATCTATTGTAACAGTAGACAGCTTCCGACGCTTGATCAAAGAACGGTAAAAACTGATTAAACAATAATTGTTTTTAGTTCACCAGCAATTATGAATGAAAATCCATGAAAAACATATTCATGTTGCTATTCAAAAAAGAAAAAAAAACAAAAACATGAATTGCAATTTATTCGTAATAATGAATTTGCATTCGCTGAAATAGTCAGTTTCCATACTCTGAAAGAATGGCAAAGTAGTTGTGCGACAACGACTGCCTCTCAAGCGTTGACACTGCACACACAAAGAGATACGTTTAAAACAAAAATTTTACTCCATCGTATGGCGAAAGCAAAGAGAATAGGATTTCTAACTATTGTGCTCCGTAAGTGTCACTATTACTACAAGAAAAATTCTCATTGCATTAAACATCTAGCACTACAAGATGTAGCAGATTTCGAATTTGTGGAAATAGGAATTTACCATGACCTCAGGCCTGATACGAAGCTCTGGACGTTTCGTATGTAGCCTATTTTTTCCAATGTAGAAAATATTTCAGAGTGCATAATCACACTGTTATTGGTTGTGCTATATAGCAATGTCTAGGAAATATGCTTACACGAAAGTGTTGCGAACATCATCATGACGCTTGCTGATTCAGCGTCACTTCACTTGTGTATTTACTTTGTGTTGTTTTTCTTGTAAGTTGAAAAAAAACCCACTGCGATAGTCAACAAAGTGCTCCATTGTCTATTTTGGGTGTGGGTGTGGGTGTGGTTATAGATCTTCTCTTCAACAGAACCCTCACTCACACCCACACCCTCTTGACTAGAATAGCTTATGGTTAAAATATCTCCCCCAAATCTCAACGAAATGCACAAGTTCTAGTCAATTCATTATCCTTTATGCGGGCAAGAATTTCGCAATAAGGATACGAGCTAACAAGCCCGGGCAGTTTTCAAGTTGTACAGTACCCTAAGGGCTAGATCCTCAGAGGGCCTGATTTTTGAATTTCCCTTTGTTTGTTTTTTAAAAAACCTTTTTCGTAAAATTCACGAAATCATGCCCAAAAAAATTACTAAAAAAAAATGAAATATCTAAGTTTTTTATTTCACCAAAAGAGAAATTCAAAAATCGGGCTCTGTGAGGATCTAGCCCTAACTGCCTTCTATGTATTAAAAAAAGAATTATCACTTCTCTATTGAGTCATTATTAAAAAAACCTTGCACGCGTAAGCAGTATTCTCGAAAAAATCGACTTTGAGAAAAACGGAAAATAAGTATTAGAAATCGATTTTTCCAAAAATCACCTGCTTTATATATCAATGTTCAAGACAGGCTATAAATATGTGATCTTAATATTAAGTGTTCATAGTCTCTTAGTGATTAGTATAAAAAAAAACTTTACGAAATGCTGATGCAAAGAGAAAGCAGCCTAAAAAGTCGAAAAAGCTCGAAAAAAAGCTATGAAAATTTCTCAAAAAATATGATAGTAGGAGCGAAATTTTAGACAATAACTTTATCAAAATCAATTCATTTTTCGATAAACCATAGATATTCTGAAAGAGGAGACTTCGGTGCATCTTCCTATGATAAAACTCTAATTTCGGCTCATCTCCGAAAAATTGGATTTCCTGAGGCGGGGGGTTCTTAGGATGATAAACTAGAGATATAGTTTTCGACTTTCTCGTTCGATGCAGAACCTTGCCGAAAACTGAATGATATATTGGAATACAATAGTGTTAAACAGTCTTCATTAATCCGATGGCATATTATTATAATACGAAGTAAAATCTTGGCTAACGGGAACGTACCAGAATTTAATAGAATGCTTATAAGAAGTATACAGTTACCGTCTGTTTTAAAAACATCACAAACATTTTACGTATTTTTTAAAGTGAGTGATATGGTTGAACATCCTTTTGATTCCAGTAATTCATCTATATTAGGATCTGCAGTTATTTGATTTATTCTATACTTCAACCTCGAAGTAAGCAACGGAATGAAACACAACTATACTAAAAATAATACACTTTCTATGCAATCTTCAATCATTTTGTCTTCTATATATTGTGGACCGAAGGTGAGCAATATACTTGAACATGACTCTTATTAGAACGATTCACTTGCCATAGAATCTTCTATCATCTTGTTTTCCTTTTATATTAATTTATTAGTGAGAAATATACTTGAACATGAAAATTCTTAGAATTAAAGACTTGTTATATAATCTTCGATCGTCTTATCCTCCTAAGATTTCAGCTCGGTAGTGAGCAATATAATAGTATAGCTCTCTTTTGAAAGTTGTTCAAGTGACATGTTTTGTCCAACTGTACTACCAAATGAACAGCTTACATTCGAAATAAGAAATGTATTTCGACTATCATCTCTTTGTTATGATCATTCGAGTCATAGGTAATTTTGATAACATGTTTCTTTGAGAATTACTTTTTAGATCTCGGTAAGCTAATTGAATTTATTTATATTAATGAGAGTAATTTATCAGTTATATAATTTCTTTACCGAGCAAACTATGACTTTTAGACCGTTTGCCTATAATATATTTGAAAAGAAGGTTTGTAATAATCATTCATATGTCATAGGATCATGAACTTATTATCAATGACAGTTTTGAATATAAATGTACAAGCTTCTTGAATCGAATGCTCTTAGTAGCAGTTAGCTGTTGTATTTCATTACTAGATGGTCATTCGTATGATAATTTCGCATCTCAAACAACAAATAAGACAATCTCACATACTATATTCTTTCACTTCTATTTAAGATGAATGAACGTTTATCCGAAAAAAGTAAGAAAGAGAAACAAGCTAAACAGTCGTTAACTGACACCCTCAAATGATTTATAAGATATCTATCCAATGCAACCATTTTGTTGTACTACTAAAAATATAGATTATTTACCTTCAGAATGTTAATGTGTATAGTGTTGATTGTACTTTTTATGAATATGAAGGAAAGAAGGTGTTTCGAAATTGCAATCAGTGCTTTACGAAAAAAGAAATAAGCGATGGCTGCTGATGAATGAAAGAGAGAAAGAGAATGACAAAAAAAAATGCACAGATTTCTATACAACGTCATGAGAGTAGGCACCATGTTTGTCTAATGTATGCGTATATAATTATACACACGATAATCGTCTCAGGTGCAAACAAACACACACACACACACACATAATGTCTTTGCTCAATGTAATCATATTTTTATTGATAGTCTCGGCTTATAGTAAGTTGTGATAAGACAAGAAATTTTCTCCTCAAATTCTAACTGAGTAGATATGAATTTCAGTGATTGATTGTCGAGCACTTCGTAAACGACGCCAAGGACTACAGTCGAGTGTCTATTCTGGAATAAATAATATTCGCAACATTAATCCAAATACAGGTTATGGACAAAATTTTATAGGACCAGGTAGGAAAAAATCTGATAATGAAATATATGCAAAGCTCAAAAATGAAATTTTGAAGGATGATACATATAAAGGTTGTGATTTATTTTTTCTTATATTTATGGAAGAAACAAAACACAATGGGAAAAAGAAAGAAAGTTGAGTCAAGAATGACTGATGAGTGTATAATTGATGAATCTGTCACAATACGAACATTTTTAAAATAATCTGTTTCTTCTTTTAATAATTTAACTTTCTGTCTAGGACATAATTGGTATCCAACAAGTAAACATTGGTTCATACCAGGTTATCCACCATATCCATATAACAACCGTGAGTATCGAGTAGAATCTTTTTGTTAATCTAAAAATAGTATCTGTTTCATAGAATTCGGCTACTCTGCACCACCGCTTCCATATGGCTATCCCAGTTGGTTTGGTACTCCTGCTGCCTTCCAATATGGAGCTCCATGGCTTTCTCCGCACGATTCGTATGTGCTCATGGCTTATAGTGGTCAATCTTTTGCTCCACTCTCAAGTGATTATTATTTTAAGCCGTTGCCCGGTGCTAATCGTCGTCAACAATGAAAGAAAAAACTTACTGTCCTAGACATGATTTATAATTGCGTTCTTTCTACAAGCAAATAAGCATGCAACGATAGTCGAGTACAAACATTTTCTTCCATTGCGAGACCTTGTTTTATTGATTTATATTATAAATGATTGAGTTTGAATTATATTTATATTAGCGAACTACAGGTGAGTTGTTCTATGGTGAATAAAAAATGAAATTTAATCAAATGAAAATCTAACACGATTATTTAAATAATCCCCGTTCCATATGAAGGAAAAGCCCTTAGATTTTCTATTTGGAAGGGAAAAAGAAAAAAAAAACTAAATATCATCGATCGATATGTTGCTACTGATCCAAATAAAGTTTTCGTTCTCTCGTTGTCGTGTAATATGTGTAAGCGGAAGGTGTCCGTTCAAAGCAATTATATTGAATAAAATCACTGTACTTCTCTACTATATCTAATTAGGATTAACAATTCTACTATCATAGAAGAATTGAAGGTACTTGTTTGTTATCGTCCCGCAAAATTTTTTTTAAAATTTTTTCTGAGATGAAACAAGATCATAACAAATAAAACAGAACAACACTAGCACTAGTCTTCTGGTCACCAAAATGCGGCTATATCATCTAGAATCGCATCAAACAGGTCATGTCCATTCAGCCTTGAACGCCACATATGTTCACATCGATATGAATCAACAAAAGCTCGATTGGTCCCTTGTCTTTTCCTGTTTTCATTCTTCGGACCTCGCCCAGCTCTAACGATAGTTTGCGTGTGGGCTCCACTTTGGGGATCTACGAAATTGCACTTGTTATTGATAGTAAGGTGAATAAAGCCAATGGCAGCCAATCCGTTGTAACTGCCCAGGTCCATCATTCAGACCGTCTGAAACGACGTCTTAAAATGCCTAAAACGCTGAAAAAACGACGTAATTAATGCCCTAAACGATGAAAAACGATCGCCATTTTTCACCGTTTTTTGACCGTTTTCCGTCAGCTCGGATTGAGGGCCGTTTTTCCCCGGAATGTAAACGACGCCGTTTAAGGCCGTTTCCGGCGAGCAACGATGAGTAGTATTATGGCAGTATTCTCGTCCTATAGTGTCTTATTTACACCGGTTTTTCTCGTTTACGACTTTATATATCTTTTGCCGTCTGTCCTCAGTGAAGAGGAGCACAATATTTCGTCCCCTTCTCACCTTCCGTAAACACAGCAAACATTATTTATTTATTTAACTAAAATACTTACTACTGTATATTTCATTGAGATAAGTCCAAATAAAAAAAATAAATATATTTATTTAAGTACAATACTTACTGTTGAATACTTCAATGAGAGAAATCTAAATGAAAAAAAAATATACTTATTTAGACAAAATACTTACTATAGAATATAGTAATGAGATAAACCTAAATAAAAAAACATTATTTATTTATTTAAATGAAATACGTACTATTAAATACTTCGTTGCGATGAATCTAAATAAAAATAATAAATTTATTTAAACAAAATACTCACTATTATATATTTCAATGAGAAATCTAAATGAAAAAAAAATATATATACTCATTTATACAAAACACTTACTATTGAATATTTTAATGAGATAAATCTAAATAAAAAAGTAATAAATTTATTTATTTAAATAAAATACTTACTGTTTTGTATCTCATTAAAATAAATCTAAATAAAAAAAAAATATATTTATTTATTTCAATTCAATACTACTAAATATTTCATTGAGATAAACCTAAATAAAAATAAAAAATAAATATATTTATTCAAATACAATACTTACAGTTGAACCAGATGGTGAAAAGAATCCGAATAAAAAAAAATATAATTTTTTTAAAAATACGTAATGACCAATCAATTATAGATCATTAGAAAGTGTCTAATGATGATTTTAGGGCACTTTTTGAAACGATGAAAAACGGTGTGAAAACGGAGAAAAAACGACGTTCATAACGACAATTGTTTCCGCTAGTACGTAAACAATCACCGTAAAGATCATCGTTTATCGCCGTATTTCTCCGTTTTACGGCAAACCTTAAACGATCATCGTAATATCAGCCGTTTTTCACCGTTTTCAAGTCTTTTAAGGCAGTTTACGAGCCGTTCTGTACGACGTGGGTGCGCCATTTATCTGTTATGATTGTTGTTCTGGGTTTAATTCGACTGGTGATGATTGGAAGAAGCGTGGCTACACTTCTATCTGAAACGATTTCCGTAAAATACTCACGAGTTTCTCGACCAATTCCACGTAAGATCCATTGCTACGGCAATACACATTCAACATGATTCTTTCTTCGACTGAAGAGACTTTCGTCGATCTTCACAGTGGTATTGGGTCCATCAATTATCATTTGTGTCTGTTGAAGCTTCCAAGCACACACTTCTCTTAAGTAGTAGTTCCAATCCACGACAGCGTTTTGACCGATTTTAAGTTCATCTTTTAAAAATTTCACCGATGTCCTCTTTTGAGACTAAGAATAAATGAATAAAATGACTTTTCGAAGAGAAAACTTCGAATCAACTAACCAATTATTTGTGCGTAAACTTTTATCTTAACGACATCCACTTAAGTAGCATCGCCATCGATCTTTAGCACCCAAGGACAATTTTATCTTGTAGTTATTCTTGCAAAATATTTGAGCTTGTATTATTCCATGTTGTTGTAGGTATTTGACACTTGAAGCTTCATCAGGAATTTGTTCAGACAAACGTAGAAAATTCATGATGAAAATGTGTACAGAATGTGATGATCTGCCACGTACTATCTACTAGTCAAGACAAAGCTTATCTTCACACATACATTTTTATTGATTAACAGACGGGTATATATACGTGAGAGCAAAGAACCTACTAGGGAGATCTACATGAACAATATATATAAGATAGAGATAGAAAGGAAAGAAAGGATGCACTTGAATATACTAGAACCATACATACATTCATCCATGCATGGTAGTAGAACGAAAGAAAATATAGATGAAATCACATACATGCTGGCATCACAACAACAATAGAAAGAAAGGAAATATGCACTAGTCATAATACGGGCATGATAGGAATGATAATAAGATGAAAAGATAAAAAATTAAAGGATACGATAATATTAAAAAATTAAAAGAAAAATTGCGGGACGATAACAAACAAGTACCGAATTGAATATGTTCTTCATTTTTCAGCAATCGATGTGGTTTAATTTGAACTGCGCTAACATGTGTGTTCACTAAAATCTTGTTTAAGAAAATGAAAAACGTTCCATTACATATAAGGATACAAGTAATTGGACTCAATTTGCCGCCGTCCCGATGATCTTTGTAGATGTGATTTGCTTCACAAAGTTGTCGTTCTATTTCAGACATACTTAGGTCTGACCAAAAGTTCTGAAAATATTAAATAGTAATATAAAAATGATGAGATATTTTTAATCTTATTCTATCAAATGTTGAGGATAGTTGCCATGATTATTTATATCCGAGACAATCCTTTCTAATAACTTATTAAAAGTTTTTTT